TAAGCAGGGTCTGGTGGAGAGAGGGTCTCCCCACTAAGCTCTGCAAAAAGGGGACAGCTGTGGTGACAAAGGGACTTCCCCCTATGGTCTTCAGAGAAGGTTATGAGTGGGGAGGAGGACTCTGAGGAAGTAATAGGCAGGCATTTGTCCAGCCCTGACAGCAGGTGGCAGGAGGTGAGGGGACTCTTACCACTGGGCCTTTCCAGCAGGTGGAGGATGATGGCTACCATTGTCTTCACTTCCCAGACCCCAAAGTCATCCTCTGTGGCATCTGTTTCCAGTCCCAAGTCTACGGGCAGAGAAGTGACAGTGAAGAAATCCCAGCATGAGCACTATTTCTGTTCACGCTTGGGTCCAGGTCCTTTCGTAGACAAATGTGGAATCCCAGAACACCCCCTTTGTTTTAGCCAGTTCATGTGTGCACCTACAGGCCCCCAGCCCAGACACAGGTACACATATGCCTGATTCCAAATGCATCCCAGCACAGACGCAAAGACACGGGTGCATGCAAGGACTCCACAGACAATGAGGGTTTGCATGTGTTCCCATAACCTGCCCACGAGCACGCGCATACTCAGACGCACACAGCCTGCAGCTGCCCCCCAACCCTGCCAGGTCAGATACCCTGTGCCATAGTAGCCACGGTGAGGTCCCTGGCAGGGCAGGTGCTTGGGTGCTGCATATGGAATTCTCTGCGGAGGTCGTAGAAGGAGAAGAAGGTGTCGGGGAGCACCAGGTTCTGGGGGCACATGGGAGTGGGGATGAATGGGGAAACTGAGGAACCCTACCCACCCCCACAACAGGGATCCTGGGGACCTTGCCCCCCTGGTGCCCTCAGTGTCATACCTTCCTGGAGGCCTCAGGGTGCAGAACCTGTCGCAACAGCTGCTGCCCATCCGTGCAGAGCATGTAGGGGCCCCCGCCCAGCAGAGCCACATCCCCGCTCACCAGCTGTGAGAACTGGAGGTAGGGAGTGGAGAGAGACACACAGACAGGCTTAAAGCTAGGAATAGGAGGCAGGAGGAGGGGAGTATGCAAGCTGCAAAGCTGGTTTAGCCAGATGTTCAGCCCTACCCTACCAGAGGAGGAGGAGGCCACGCCTGCTGGGCCTAGCCTTGTGTCCAGTGCCCTCTACCCGTCCCAGTGCACTGTCACCTCCTCTGGGCCAAGTGAGGGTAGTCTCATAACCCAAGCTCCCATCACATACACTTCAGAAATCTGGAGTGAGGCCAGAACAAACACCTGGTTGAGTGGGACAAGCAGGTGGGAAGGGGCGGGGCAAAGCAGGTTAAACCTGTCCCTGACCAGGCACCACCCTCAGACAGGTGGGGGAGGCCTCAGCCTGCCAGAGGCCCAGAGGACTCATGGTCAATGGCAGCCCCGCCTCCAGGCCTGACCAACCGAGGGGCAGGGAAACTCCAAGGACAGAGCCCCACACTTGGACACCAGGGGCAGCATGAGCTTTGACCCACACCCTATCGACCAGCTGGCACTCAACTGTTTGCTCATAGAGGGGGTGGCACTCCTGAGGCCACCTGGCCCTTCCCCCAGCCAGTCCCTGCTGGAATAATCACAGACCCACCAACGCTGCCACCCCACGTCTGCCAGTTCTGCCGCTCTACAACCTAAGGTGACCAGAGCAAGGCAACCCAGCTTTTCTCCCTACTCCTTCAGTGGGTGTAGGCTGGAGGGTTTTCTGGAGCAGACTGAGATTCAGCATCTTTGTTTCCTCATCAAGAACCACCAGAGTTGGAAGAGGAAAGAATTCGTGCGTGTAAAGCATTGCACTCATCACACTGGAAGAGTCAGATACAGGGTGAGCACAGCAGTGAAGATAAGGAAAAGAAAACAGCAATGGGAACCGCCTCCCACTTCAACCATAGAGGCAACCCAGGCCTTTGCACGAAGCAGGCAGGTAGCCCCTAGGCGGGGTCCGGACAGCGCCCACGCCTGGCTAGCCGGCTGGGACAGGCCTAAACGAGCAGCTTACACCTGGCGGCGTCTGCCTCTGGGGCAGACACCGCCCTACACCCCAGCTCCAGCGGCTCCCAGGCGGGGGGAGGAGGCTGGCTGTAAGGATCAGTGACCTATGGCCAAGTCTGGGCCCCTCGACCCTTCACTTCCGGCTGCTGCTCTAGGAGACCTGATCTAGCAGGTTCCCAGAGGCGTCTCGGCCTGGCTCTTACGCCGACTCGGGATAAACCCTGCTGCCTCCCACACTCTCAGTAGGAGTGGGTCCCCGCCAAGGTTGACAAGGCGCCCCCACGAATGGCCGACGCACGCGGACTCGCCCACGCGGGAATCACTCAAAGTTTCAAACAACCAGACCCCGTCCTAACGCCCAGACCAGTTGGCGCGCAGGCCTCGCCTCCTTTCGCTTCTTCCACAGAGAAATGTCCGCGCGGCCCAATGGTGCCGCAGGTACCCTGGCCCCGGCACTCACCTGCTGCAGCACCTTGTCCAGAGGCTCCGCCCGCTCCAGGCTGTCGGGGCTCAGGCCGCTCGCCTCGCGGCACTGTGGGCTCAATGCGGCCGCCTCGGCGCGAACCAGCGACTTGTGCAGCGTGCCCACCTGCGAGCGGGGGG